GCCCAAGAGAAATGCAAATATATGTCTACAAAAAGCCTCGTATAAGAATGTTCATTGCAGATTTTCTCACAAAACAAAAAACTAGAAACAAACCCGGGAACAAACTGTGGCACAGCCATACAGTGGGATACTATGGGGCCACAAAAAGAAAGAAAATGCTGGAACTCAAAAACCTTATGCTGAAAGAAGCCAGATACAAAAGAAACACATGTTCTACAAAAGACACAATCTATGGTGATAGAACTCAGATTAGTGGTTGCTTAGGGCAAGGGGCGGGAATTGGGTGGGAAGGACTCTCCCCGAGGAGCACTCTCCGTGCTGATGAAAAGGGTCTATGTACCGTTAGGGGCATGGGTGAGGCGGGTGGTCGGACTGCACGCTTAAGTTCTGTGCATTTCACTGTATGAAAATCACACCCCAAAAAACATTTGTCTCCAGGCAGGTGGGGAAAGGCACATTTCCTGGTCTTGTTATCTTCCCATTTTTCAAAGTTTTAATTAAGTCCCACAGCTTCCCACTGTTCAAAAGACCCTTCACCACAGACCTCCAGCACCCCCACCCCTATCCCTGGCCTCAGGGCTCACCTGGTCACACAGAACACATCTGTGGGTATGTCACACCTGCACCTCTGCACCACCGTTCCCTCTCCAGAGCACCTCTGCTCTCTTTTCAAGTTCTAATTCAGGCACCACCTCCTTCAGGAAGCCCTCCTAGAATCCCCTGGCTGAGCTACATATACCCTCTCTAAAGGCCTCATTTCTCAGGGCTTACTTCCATCATAGCACCTAGCACCTTCTCCTGAAGGACTCGGTTTTCCACTAGAGACTCAAGGGCAAACAAAGTGGCATATTTAACTTTGCATTCCTAGCTCCTGGAACAAAGTTTTGGCAAAAACCTTTGGGTGAACCAGACAATCTGCTTGCTAGTAAACAAAGATAAAATTCTAAGGCCTAAGGGGCAGAGAAGTGGTGGTGGCGCCTGAAGAAGAGGTCTACTGGCAGAGACACAGAAGAACATCTGAGGTGAAGAAGGAAACCGATATGGGCCCTAGAAGGGGTCTTTGGGGCTGAATTACAAAGGCTGCCAGGATGCCAATGAGATAGAACAGGGAAACGGGACAAGGGTCATGCCACTGTAAAATCTACTTAACCTTCGAAAAAGGTCCAGCTTACTCTTTAACTTAATCTATATGCTGTTCTTTCTCTTCTTCCAGCCCCTTAATCAATTAAGTAACTTTGTAACCAGGACGAGAGGCAGACCTCCCCGGTGTTAATGAACCTACATGGGTAAAGAATGCTGAGATCCAGATCGACACATCACCTAAATAATCCTATTCTTAAAACTTCAAAGGGATTGTTAATCAGCTGTATACATCATGCCTTATGCCAACCCTACCCAAAGGCCCTATAAAACCCCAAACCCTAAACCCTTAAGCACCCCTCCTCTCTGAGATGGCTAGTGATCCCATTTGAGTATGTTCTGACTTATACCAAATAAACTTTCGTGCTGTATGAGCCTGTTGCACTTGTCTCTGAACTCTTTCCCATGATAACGACAAGAACTCTCCGACCTCCACCTCCAGTGGTAAATGTCTTTGTCACTTTGCTATGTCATTCACTCAGCTTTCTAGTCTTAACACAATCCTTTTCTCCCTCCCTGTTTTATTTCAGACCAGTAGGGAAGTGGAAGTTCTCAGAACATAAACTCACTCCATCCAGTGCTCTGCAGCTCCCCCAAATTCTGGGGTGGTCTGGATTGAATTCCCACACTGTGCAGACCAGGCCGACTGGCTGTAGGAGTGGGCAAAGAATTTGCCCTCTGCTGAGCAGTTCAATGAACTTCCCTTTTCTCCCTGTTCTTCTTTGCCCTCTACGGCCCGCATGGCTGCTGAATTCACTTCTGCTCTTGCATTACTGAATTCCTTTCTTGCTGGCACTTGTTTGACCTGATGGGAGAATTCCTTCCTGATCAGAGTAAGAACACTTCCCCATCCAGGTTAAGGTTTCACCTAGTGGTGGGGAGAGACCCCCCAGACGCAGCTGGGACATCCAAGCAGCAACACCAGGGCAGCCAAGACCCTCATTTGCCAAAATACTGCTCCCAGAGCCTCCTGCTAGTTTCCAGGTGCCATAGCTGAGCTGATCCCATCATCAGCCTAATCCCCCCAGCAAAGCAAAAAACTGCCTCTGAAGCCAAGCCCTTACTTTGCCCATCCTGCCTTGGTCCAGACCCAGTTTGGGGCACAAAGTTGCCACATTCCAGAATTCAATAGTGTGTAGCTCCATTTGTTACCAAATTTAAAAGAACAAAGAAAAGTCTGTTACCTGATTTTAAATCTTTTATGTTAATATGCCAAGCATAATCTTTATAAGCAAACTAAAATATCTATATTTTACATTCCTTGAAAAAAGATGCAACTTCAAACCTATAATGTTTAATATGTCTATTTACTTCACTCCCAGACTACATTTTTCTTTTAAAAAATTAAAGTCTATCTCACCTTTCCAACTACAAACAATTTTCAAGCAGCGAGTAGATGACAATGCACTAGACTTTACGGCGGAGACAGTAAGTCTGCACAGAGAAGGGATAAGCAGCAGTGCCACCAGCATCTGGAGTACACAGGCCCTGAGCAGGATGAAGGATTATGTCTCCTGCAGACTGAAGGACTGGACAGGGGTTCCCAAGAGTTATGTAACTTCCCTCAGGTCAGGAATCTGAGCAGCAGATCCTCTGGACCCAGAACACGTGTTCTTTCCAACCTTCCAATTGCTCCAGCACTTCAAAGTTGACACCTGCCCTTGAGAAATTTCAAAGACAGTGAAATTTTTAAAAATATAAACAGCTGAGAAGAGAAAACTTAACTCTAGGCTAAATCCCTTCCCATAATTCAATCAGCCCACCCTGATGGGGAGGTTTTTCAGAGGCAACAGGCATGAAACTATAAAAGGAAATGCAATTAAGAAGAATCTTTTTAATGTATCTAATTCTTGACTGCCCTTGCCCTAGACAGAAACTTAATCCTACTTAAGGATAGCTATCTCTGAAAGGTAGTTGCTTAAATTATAAGGTAGTGGGAAAAAAGAAACAGAAACCATTTTACAAGGTAAATGAGAACCCAGCTGAGAACAGTCCAGTATTAGATCTCCAGCAGTGATGACCGTCTCAGCTATTACCGCCTAGAAGCTGGACCTTACAGACCATACACAACTCCATCTTATCACTCACTCTGCCGCCTCTCCTAAATCAACCTAACAACCAAGCCAAAGAAGAAACTCTTTTCAGAAATTAGCTGAACACACATTGACAGTAATACATTTAAAAACATGATATATTCTCATTTAATATAGCTGGAAATCGACGAAAGCTACAACAAACACCCGGGTGGGTTTTGGTGTTTTTTTAACTCTTAGGTAAACTCCAGAAAAGGAGATGTGGGGAACCCATTCTGTGTAGCTAGGATGTCTTGGGAGACAGAAGGCAGCAAATGGAGGTCCTTACTTTAAGAAAGCATTCCCAGCAGAGTTCAGGGTTCCTGACCCACCACTCCAGCTCTAGGTCTGTTCTGTCACTGCACTGTACACACCTGCCTGATTCTGACCCAACAGCAGAACAGGACCGAGGGTCCCTGCACCTTACCCGACAGGCTTATAGGGAGCTCTGCGATGCAAAGCTGCTGGCCAAACTGACAAAGCCAAGAAAAGAGCCTCGGGAGGCGATGGGGTTGCAAACAGCAAACAGCCAACAAACAAACACTCCAGATGTCTTTTTGGTCTTTGGCACAGGGGACATTCACTATTGTTGCTTCAGTATTAATTGCTAGGCTCAGAAGACAAGCTGGAAGGGGCGGCTGTGGAGGGAAAGCCTCCTCTGACATTCAGTTTGCTTTTCAGAAAGGTCATCTGGCTCTGCAGGCAAACTGACTGGAAGGGGCAATCACTCTTGCATTCTGTAAGTGCACACTGAGCACTTGAGTGAGCACTTGCTAGAGGCCAAGCACTAATCCAGGGGTGGACGTGTAAGTCAGGCAGGCACGCAGGAGTATGCATTTCATCCCAAATTGGAGGAGGCTGATTTTTAAAGCTTCAGTTCTGCCATTTTAAAAATGTCTGAAGTTGACGTCTCTGTACTTTTATCAGTGTATGACACAAAAATTAGTAGTCGGGAGAACAGAGCATTAAATAGCTTGCCGTCAGTGCCGGGTCTGGGCGTGATTGTGAATTACAGAGAAGGGCCCCAAACTCAAGCTTAGGGGACTTGGCCCAGGTGTAAAGCCGCAGACCCATGACCCACTGCGCCAGCCAGAGGGGCTGCTTTGGCAGCGAAGCCAGAGACTGCTGCCTGGAGGCGGCGGCATTTCAGCCTAACTCTAAAGGGTTTGGAACAGAGCCACGCGGTGCTGGGAGGCAGGTGAAGAGTAAGGTAACCATCTGTCACAGAGTGTTCACAGTTACCAGCAGCAGCAACGCTAATCCCTGGCGTTCGTGGTTCCCTCTACAGCACACACCTTTCCTTCAGCACCTCGGTTGAACCCTGTCCCTTCAAAACATCTTGGCCAAATACGTGGGGGTAAAGGAGCTGCCCACTTCCCAGAAGAGGAAACAGGCGAAGAAGGAGGCCCAGGGCAAGGATCACTAGGCCAAAGGGCTGGCGGCGCCGGGATTCGAACCTGCCGCCCGCTAGGACGCCTGCGCTCGGCCACCAGCGCGCGCCCCGGCCCTACCCGTTGCCCTGGAAACTCCCCGCGCAAGCGCGAGCTCTTCTAACACCCTCATCAGCTTTTTTTAAAAATAAAAACCCAAGGCGGCGGGATACTGCCAATGACTGAACGTGCCGTCAAAGGACACCGCTACGTCCGCTCTCCGCCCTGGGCCGTGGATCCCTCCGCCGCCCGGCGGCCTGCGCGCGGCTTCCCAACTCCCAACTCCAAAAGGCGTCCCGCGCGCCGCGCCGCGCCCCACCCCCACCTCATTCCCACCCCAACCCCCAGCCCGGCTCACCTGCCGCCCGCGTCTCCATGGCAACGTCCCCACCGCGGAGGAAAAAAAAGCATCGGGCTCTTCCGGGCCCCCTTCCGCGCCGACCGAGAAGGCGGGGCGCCCCGCTGATACTTCGCTTTTTATTTTTATTTTTTTAAGAAAAGAGCCGGCGAGGTTATGGCGAATCTGCGGTATCCAACATGGCGGATGGAGTCTTCGCCCTCCTCTTCCCGGGGCGCTGACGCCGGCGTAACGGACGTCAGCTTCGGATGACCCTCCTCCAGCGCCGAGCGCCTCCAGGCTGGTCGGGCTGTGCGCATGCCCAGGTTCGGCGGTCGCGCTGTATGTCCCGCTCCGCTTGAATCCGCTGCTCCGTGTTTTAGCCACTCCTAGGAAGGGGCTAACGGGAGGCTTGGAATGCGGATCGCGGGACTGGCAGTCTTCCTAGTTCTGCCGGGAGCCAGCTTCAGCTTCTACCTGTCAGCCCCGCCTTGGCTCCTCCTGGTGTGGAGCCACTGGGCTGGACGTGGAAGGACAGTGTAGGGGTTGCGTCCCAATTCTCCCATTTTCTAGCTAATGTGGGATGGCGATAAAACTTTCTTTTGTCTCCGTTGACTAATTTGTCAATCGGGGTGATTACGGGCTGTCTCCCTCTCAAAAAGGGCAGTGTGCCGGAGACCAAAAGGCCCCCACCCGCAAAATGGTGAACTTCCTGCTTCTCTTCCGGGTCCTCTGCTCCCGCCGGCACCAACCAAGGCCCAATCACCCCTCTACACCTTCCCACCGGCGCCATCTAAAAGCCAACTGTTTTTTAACCCGCCCCTTCCGTCCTAACCTGTATAAATTAGCCTGCAAACAATAAATTGTGCCAGCTTGATCAGACATCCTGTCTTGCTGGTCGTTCTTTGTGTCCTTTGCTTGTTTCATTTCTGCAGGTGTCTCCGGCTACACCCCACGTTCGTCCCGCGGGCCGGGACAAATGGCGCCCAACGTGGGGCCCCGGGACTCCTGCTGAAACGTCTGCTGGGAAGCCCTGGCCAGGCATTCTTTTGAGTCATCACACGGGTATTCACCTGATGTCGACTCTGCATTGAGGATCACTGCCGATCACCCGTCCGTAATACAGATCCCGGAGAGGTGAGTAGACGCATCACCCAAGCAAGCATCTTAAATACCTCTTGTGAGTTCTCACTGATCCCCTCCCTCTAGTTTGCTGCCGCGATTTATTCCTTGTTTTGTCCTCTGGTTGTTCCTCTCTGAAAACCTTGTGCTTACTTCGGGCTAACGGTTGTTCACCTCTAGGGCCTGCACAAGGGACTCTGACTACAGAGTCCCTGCCCTAGAGGGTCCGAGCAGGCGGATTATACTTGCCGGCCGTCCTACGTAAGCAAGGGCTCGCCTGAGCTGATGAGAGTACCTCCAGTAGTTCAGTACATTGGCGTAGTTG